AACAGTGCATTCAAGAAGGTTGTAAAGAAGGCAAAACGTTCTCTAGGTTTACTCTTCTAATGATGTCAAATCCACAAAAAGTTATTTCATCCCTCTTAGATCTGCTCTGTGCAATAACTCATGTAAAACAAAACATTTTGTATAATTTTATTTAGTTAGTTGAGGTATACGTCTAAGTATCTCCAAATTAGAGAACAATGATAATCATTTTTAATGAAGTTTAATAAAGTATTTGCTTTTTGTTTTCACATTTTATCCAGATATAATTTCTGCATTTTAGTAAATTAATGTTTCAATCTTTACCACGTTATTTTATTCAAGAAATCTTGCTCATGGGACAATTTACAAATAGTAAATAGCTATAGAAGAATTAAAAGCCAGAGATAATTAACTCTTTTTTTAACTTAACCTTATAACTATCAAAGAGATCCAGATTGGAAAGGAAATAATAAAACTACTCTATTTGCAGATGGCATGCTCTTTAATATATAAAATCATAAGCAATAACTGAAAATTATTAGAACACATAAATGAGTTCAGCAAAGTTTAAGATATAAGATCAATATACAAAAAGCCGTGGTATTTGTATATAGCAGAAATAAATCATCTGAAAATAAAATTAAGAGATTCCATGTACAAAATTATCAAAAATAATAAGATACATAGGGAAAAAATAAAAGAAATTCAGCGCTTAACTCTTAAAACTACAAAACATAGTTGAAATTCATGAAAGAAANCCAGCCTTTCCTCTCATACCTGCCTCCAAGCACTGGCTTTGAGAAAGTCCAGAAGCTAGTGTCCTATCCCCTAGATGATTGGTGAGTTGTCCAGAACACTTTAGTATATGTATTTTTAAAAGAAAAAGACTCCTGTCCTTTAGGACCTATAGTTACATTTCTCAAGTCAGACAGACGTTAGATTCCCAGCCATGCCCAGGACATCCTGTCTCTCCTGACTCAACTCTGGCACTTGTGTGAGTGTAGTTGGGACAACCTGAGTGGGTGTGGTTGGAATACCCTGGGGTACCCTGTGCCCTTTGACAGTTTCTTCCTCTCCACATTCATGCTCTCTGTGAGTCGTAGGCCAAGAATGGCTAGCTGAGCGGGCTGGTGCCAGGCTAGTGCAAGTTATTTTCTTTTGATCATTTGTTTTGCACAGTGGTTTGTTTTGACATATTTGTGCATCCTGTGAAAAATAACAGCGTCTCATTTCACTAGTATAGCAAAGAAACTGTAATAAGTGAATGTGGTCCTTAGGAGATGCTGCACTCAACAGCAACCAGACAGCCCAGGGCAGAGACAATGGCAGAAGGAAGAGGGTAGGCTGGACTCACAGATCCCTCTTCTCTACACCTGAGATCCTCCAGGCTGCCAGAGACATGGTCCCAGGTCCATTTTCCCCTCCTTTCCCCACCACTCCTCATCTAGTTTCCTATATTCTGAGGGTATGTCTGGGATGCTGGTCCTGGGTACCTTCAGCAGCAGAATGGCACTTCCCATTTCTGCTGCTATTCACTCCCAGCATTAAACTCCCACCCCCTGCCCACCCACACACACTGGGCTTTTTATAACATCCCCCTGCTAGACAAAGGCCTGGCCACTTCTCCGGTATAATTGGCAAGAGGCCTAATACTTGCTGAGAAGGGGAGCAGGAGAGGGGCTAGCTAGATTCCAGGGAAGGAAACTCCAGACCTGCAGGAATTGACAGTAGAACCTGCGTTGTTGTGCAGGTGCTGCCATCACCACCACACCTCCGCCAGCACACCTCCACCTGCTTGTGGCTTCCATCTCCTCCCACTTACAGTTAGGCCCTCACTGCCTGGAAAGTTCCACATAGGTTTCCATGGAAACATTAGAGGCTGGGTGATATACATCCACCTTGAGTAATCTGGGAAGTAATCCATTTACCTGCCCTGTTAAGTAAGCCCTGCCTGTATCTTAGGGAAGTGATTTTACGTTGCACATCTGGTTTGAGCCCTTCAGCACTACTGGACATTTGGGTTAATGGTCATGCCCTGCATATTTCTGAGCAGAGCAGTGATCGTGGCCAGCTGGGCAGAGCATCCTTGTTTGGGCTAGGAAAGCTTTACCTTCTCTGAGTGCCTCCAAGAGACACATGGTCCATGGTGCTGAGAGACCACATCTAGGAGTGGTCAATTTTTGGTCTTCCACTCCATCCACCCCAAATCCTTATGTAGACCCCACCTTTTCCCAGAAACTTCTATACGGAAGACAGAAGGAAGTTCAAGGAAACAAATAAATGGCTTTCCTTGTTTTTCATGGCTTAATAGTTTCCATTGTGTGTGTGGTGTGTGTGTGTGTGTGTGTGTGTGTGTACTGCATATTATAATCCACTCATTTGTTAACAGACATTTAAATTCCATATCTTGGCTATTGTGAATAATTCTGCAATAAACATGCAAGTGCAGATATCTCTTTTGTTGATTATTTCATTTCCTTTGAATATATACCCAGAACAGACAGTCCCTGAATTAGGATGGTT